CAAAAAGAGAGCCGTTGGCGCTTGCAGTGTTTTATTCCTGATATGTCAGTGATGAATGTCTGTAATTGAGCAGGTAATATCAAGGGCTTTCTAAAAGAGATTTCAGTGCTTGAAACAAAGTCTTCACTATCATACCTTCAGGCTGAAATTGAAATTTCAGCAATGGGCAGAGCTTGCACAGAATACTAATACTGTGCAGTGGTTAGACCCCAGATCCTGACCCCCCATTAACATTTTCTTTCATTTCCATTTTGAATGAAATATGAGCAGCTGGTGTCTTGATGCAGGAAAGTTAGAGGGGAAATGTCCAGCAGAAGCATTTTTTTTCAGTTTGCTTGAATAACCTTTGATCCGCCACAGTGCATTTACTTTTCTGATTGGAGAGCAGGCAGTTAGTATGGTTTATTCAGTAGCTTTTGGCAGAGTAGCCCAATGGATAAAGTGTTCCATTTACCACCGTGGTTTCACGTATTGCCATTTCTTATTATTTGATAGAGGTAAATACTATGGCACAGACTTTTTTTTTCATGGCATCTCCCATAGGGTATTAAAGCGTTTGGGGCCTACTTTGACAGACTCATTTGTTGTCTGTATTTTGAGTCAGCAATTAATTGCAAGTGGAAGTGCTAGTTTAGGCATCTCACTGATTGTCTTAGGATGCAGGCAAGTAAGAGTGTACTATGTGGACACCCACATTGAAGTTGATTTGAGGCCTCTATAGCAGTCTGGCCCTATAGTTGCTGAAACCTATTGCATTTTAATTTGTTGAAAGTGGAAAACTGACTGGAGCACTAGCGGCTTTATGAATAAACTGCAGTACAGAACTTGCTACCTTGCAGTACTCGCCTATGAGTTTCTTTTTTCATGGGTGCCATTTTCGTGCTCATGAAAGGGAGAAACTGTAGCATTCAAGACAGAGAATGACAGTACTTGAAGCTACTTCATAGACTTTTGAACCTTATACCTCTCATTTAATCTCACCTCTTTTGCATCATCCTCTTATTTCCACTCCTGTCTCTTCCTCCTTTAACAGTGTTGCATTATGTACTTTGAGGACCCCATACTTGTGGTTTTCGTGTGAGGAGGTTTCTGATTGAGATCTACAGAGGGACATTTGCACTAACAACCCAAACTCTGATCTAGCAAAACCACTTCATTAGATGCTGTAGCAACTTTGTGCTTTTCTTTTTAGCGGTATAAAACACTTTCTTGCAAAAGCTCAACAGGATTTCCTCTTCTATTTACACATAGTTAAAGATGGCAGGAAAAAACTTGCAACTGATAAACCAGCTTGTGGGTTCTGTTTCCCTTTTTCTCATCTCTCTTCTTGTTCTTATAATTGCTCTCAATACCAGAGTAATCTGGATGCCTTCCAGAACTTAATTAGTTGAAGTGATTATAATACTTACCGCATGTGAAACTTAGGAAGCCATATATGTATATCCTTGAGACAGGGCATGACTAAAATTTTAACTCTGAATGTCTGGCATCCAAAGCCAAATCCAAAGTTTTTTTTTTAAATAGAGACTCCAATTTTTTTAACAGATAATTGAGAAGAAGGTTGGACACAGTCGGAGTAGGGTTTTTCGGGAAGTGGAAACATTGTACCAGTGTCAGGGTAACAAGTAAGTATTGAGTCTCATATTTTATTTTTAATCGTGTTTCTTGTAAGTGTGGGATTGAGTGGGGCAAGACACCTTTTTGTCCCCATCCCCACCCCTTCAGATCAGGTTAGAATCCAACTTCTGTTTTGAATGGGTAACTTTCACTTTTGCTAGGTTTGCATTTTGTCTGAAAGTTGGAAAAAATATTTAGAAAAAGGGGAGGCTTCAAACCTATGGTATCCAGATCAGTATGGAAGTAATATGGGTGGATGATGAATGGCCTTTTTTTTTTTTGGCTTTTCCAGTTGTGTCTTGAGAGACCTAGGTACTCTTATTATCTCAATATTTGTAATGTCCCATATTTATGTACACAGCTTTCCTGTGTCAGGCTCTTTACAATTAGCTACTTAATATTGGGCAAATTATGGCAATATTGCAAAACAGGTCATACTTAGTCATCGAAGGCAACTGAAAAAACGTGTCTGGATCAAACACTAGTGCCTTGTGCTGATACTTTTGGTAAAGCCTCTTTTAAAACAAATTTATACACTAGGCTGATAGACCTTTGTTAGCTTTTCTAGGGGGAGAAATTGCTACATCTCCATTTCTGTTATGCAGCTAATGCTGTGTATGAGCATATAGCATGTCGGTGATAAAAACTGGAACTGGAACTACAGTGTGAAGCATAGATTTTGAATATACCGTAAACGTAGAATAGTCTTAACAGTAAATCTAATTCTTAAGACGCCAAGAGATATTTATACTTTCTGCTGCAGAGGACACAGCCTAGCCGCTCTGTACTTAGTTGTGACCACTAGGTGATTGTGCTGAGCCCAAAGTATAGCTGACAGATGCTGCTGTCTCCTTTGAGCGCTATGAGCCTTCTGCCCTGTAACTTGCAGAGAAGAAAAGCAAGTAATTATTTTTGTTCTTGCCTTTGGGACAGATGTCCTCTTCCAAATTATTAACTATAGCCTATTAGAGGTTATCTTCTTTTCAAGTGAATGGTAACACGGCTCTTTTTATAACCTTGCCTGGTGTACCACATTATGTTTCAGTGACTGAAATTTAAGTAGTGGAGTCTGACTGTTGTGAGGTGATGGAAAATGCATCCTTTTAAAATGACAGTTTATCCCAGCAGCTCATTAATTAGTGATTTTTATTTTTGTTAATTAATTATTTTAACTTAGATAAATAGATATTCAATACACTCTTCCCATTGTTTGTTTTTTTATTTTCTCCTCTTTAAGGAACATTTTGGAGTTAATAGAATTTTTTGAAGATGACACAAGGTATTACCTTGTCTTCGAGAAATTGCGAGGAGGTACTGTACAGTATATTTGTGCATTTTTCATTAACAGTTAGCTTGATCTGTTCTTCCCTCTGCTTTTGAGAGCTTTTAAGGCAAAAGATGAAGAATTAATTTTAAATGCATAGACCATTATGGGGAAAAAAATTGAAATCATTTATAGAGTTTGAAATGTAGCTTTTTAGTATGCTCTCCAAGGCTTGTCTTCATAAAAGAAAATAGATCTTGTTATATGTTTTACAAATCTGGTTTATAATTAAGCAGTGACAGTGTTAACTTTATCAGGATGGAGGACGTGGAGTATAATTATCATATCAATGGTTGCCTCTAGGTGAAGTGGTAGAATGCACAATTTGAAGTGTTTTTACATTATCTTAACAGAAGCAAAAATACTGGGGGTATAACATGGAGACAAGGAAGCCTGGCTGTATCTTACTTCACCATACTGTGGTTTTCATGTGCTATCATTTATTTTTTTCCTGGAAATTGAAGGGGGAAATATCTTGTGATTGTAATCACAAGACATTTGCAAAATGCCTTGCTAATGTCCTGTCTTGAAGTCCTGGTCAAATTCATTATTCCTTTTTACTGGTTCTCAGACCCTATGTACAACTTTTTTTTTGTGCTTGAAACCTCAGCTGGATTGAGGTATTTCACAAAGCCACGTGCTTTGCTTGTCTCTGTAAATGTCTGCCTTCTGATGTCACTGTCCCCAAAGGTGTCTGCTGTTGAACCACATGATGCACAGGAAATGCATGCTTTTTCAGTACAAACTAATTGCCTCACCTCCAGTAGGCATGTTTCGGCATTGAATTCATTCTGCATTGAATTCAGTTCCTCTTTTTTTCTCTCTTAATGGTCTACCATTTCATGCTGGCTTCTTTTAAAGCTGCATTTATTTCACTGAGGCAAAGATTTCCTAGTTGAGTTGTAAGCTGTTGGCTTTTTTCTTTCTTTAAGGTGCTGTCAGTATGGTTCCTGCATCAGTTTGCAGGTAGATTATTTAAGAGGGACTCTCATTCATTCTTTCCTTACCCTTCTACCTTTTTCTGCTTCTAAAGCATCTTGCATAGCATGTCTAGGGTGTAAGGAACTGAGTTTGGGACCAGAGGGTGTAACTTTGTATCTTTTATATATAGATATAATCTGGTTGCATTACCGCCACTATTTTGTGCAGTAGATTTGTGAGGGGATTTGGCAGACCAATGATGAGCAAAGAAGTGATCTAAAGTAGGCTTGTTTAAAAGAAAAGAGAAAAAAGGCTTGTTTCTTTCTACCAAGTGAAACGCATACCTTTTGATTGACCTGGGCCATTTCATTTGCTGCCTTTCTGTAGAGTCCCCAGGAACTGCTTCATAAGGGCAGACAGGAAAGCTTATTGCTTTCTAGAGCTATACATAACAGCTCTACAGGAAAGACCCTCTGAACTCAGTCTGCTATAAAGGGGCAAAGCTTAGCAAGCTAGTAGGTACTGCCATCAGCAAAGAAGAGCTCTTACGTGATTTGACATTTTCCAGACTCTACCTTAGGAGTAGGCTTCCTCTGGGCCTTTTGAAGCATTGTTTCCTAAGCTCAAAAAGAATCTTTTTGTCCGTGCTCCAAGACCTAATAAAGCATCCTTTTTCTAAGTAAGTATAGCCTAGTGATCAGAAGCTTAGTTTTACCGATCTGTTCCAATACCCAGCCATTTCCCTTTTCTATGTGTGGCACTATTTAAGCAGGAGTGGTAGCAGCAGCACAACGGATAATTGTTGGGGAACATCACCCTCCATAGCCCAGGGTACAAAGTTTCCTTCCTAGAACTTAAAAACAATAGAGTTGAAATAGTTTAAGAGTATAAACCTCTACTGCAGTGATTTTCAATCAGGCTGTCCCAAGATCCTTTCAAGGGTGGACAGCAACGATAGCACGGTGCCACAAAATGTTAGCATGGTTGCGTGTGCAGACATGATTCACAAGGTAAACCCAGGGATTTTGAGTAGGAATCCAAGGACTCCCACACACGTGTGCGGAGCCTGCTCTGACGCGTTGGCAATCCAGTGTGTCGGAGCAGACTTGATTAATTCAGTCTGCTGGAGCGCACACATTGATGTGCTCTGACAGCCTTCCATGTCACATGTGTCAGCATCCCCACATGTCTCCATGCTGAAAAAATGGCGGTGGGGTGCTTTGAAATAAAACACATTCAGTGAGCTTTTGTTCAAAGCACTCCACCACCATTTTTTTCAGCACGCGGACCCATAGGGATGCTGATACACGTGATACGCAGGCGCTTTTAATTTGCCCAACTCGCTAATTAAAAGTGCCTGGCACCATGTCCCAGCATGTGTAAAAATTCCCCAAAGTATCTGCAGATGCTACCTCAGCCTGACAAAGGGTATTTGTGCCCAAAAGCTTGCTAAGAATTTTTCCAACTATTTGTGTTGGTCTAATAAAAAATATCAGATTTACCCAAAGAACCTTGTCTGCCCACATCCTTAGACCAACATGGCTACAACTTACACCCCCAAAGTATTAAAAAAATTCTGAGCTGTTGTTGTCTTTCTGGGTCCTTTACAACAGAGTTTGCTTTATTATTTTTCTGTAGTTAAAAAAATATGTGAAAACTAAAAGCTGGCATTTTCTAACAGGTGCTTTGAGTCTAAGGAGGTTGACAACCACTGCTCTGCTGCCTCAGGGCTTTCATTTTGGGTGCCAATTCTCCTTCTGTGCTTGACTTCTAGGGCAATTTACCACTTTAGTGCATGTTACACAAAATAGGTGATACCTGGCTCATTTGACTGCATGGCAGAGACTGGCTTTTATGATCCTCCTAACATTTGGTGGCAACTGAGGTGCTAAGACCTTAAATGAGGTTTTTGAAATGTATAGAAAACTTGCACAACTTCTCTATTATCCTGATGTGGTAGGAAATGGGTATTCTCCTCCCCTTGCCCCCTTTAGCTTTCCCGGCACTCTAGAGCTGTGGTGCTCAGTCTTTTGGCCTAGGTAGGTGGTACAGAACCCATCCTTGGGCTGAATCGGGCTGTCTGCAGGCCAGATCTGGATGTGGGGCCCAAAACTGTTTCCTCACCCTCTGCATGCCAGGGAGCTGGGAATTTGGCAGTGGGGGAGCAGTGCCATGGATGACATGGCACCCCAGGCTGGAGGTTGAGCACCCTTGCTCTAGAGCATCTGCTTTCTAGCCAAATTATACATTGGGTATGCCTCCTCATTTCTTAAATCCTTACTCTGTTCAGTCCGTATGTGCTATTTACCAGGAGATAATCTGAAAGATGATACTAGCTACAGGATTAAGGTTACTAGTCATTCCCTGTACTTTTTTTAATGAAAAGCATGTAGATGTAATGATGAATGAAACCAAAACCATATAAATCTGTCCTTTTGGGCAAATTTGAAACCCTGTCTTAGTCTAATTACAGATAGTTGATGTAATTGAATTCCCTTTTGGCCCTGTTCATTCTGAGGTTCGCCCTCTGTTATAAATACACCGTGGCTAATGCATCTCATCTTGAAGTAGACCAGACCTTTTACCAATATAGATGGTATTTTGCATGAAGTAGCACTTCTGTTTTGTCTGTCACCTTCACAGGTTCCATCTTGGCTCATATACAAAAGCGAAAACACTTCAATGAACGCGAAGCCAGCAGGGTGGTGAGAGATGTTGCCTATGCTCTGGATTTTCTGCATACAAAAGGTGAAAAAAAAATCCTCCATCTGTTCACTAGTTTGTCTTGATCTTTCCTCTTTTGGAATAAGGCCAGTTAAATGAGAATCTGGGGATCACTATAATATTGAAAGTTACATCTGTTTTTGATGTACCTTATTGATTAAGCCAGTGTGGAAAGGCTGCTTTTACATTTTGATCTTCTGTTTTAGTCCTATGTGGAATCTTTTTTTAAGATACTTACCTGGGGTACTCTGATTATAGAAGTATATGTGCGTATATGTGTGTATTACAGACAAGGTTCTGTGGGTAAATGTGATATCTTTCATTAGACCAACTCAAATAGTTGGAAAAATTCTTCTTTGCAAGCTTTCGGCACAAATACCTTTTGAAGGTTTGCAAAGAGACCTGAAAGCTTGCAAAGAAGATTTTTTCCAACTATTTGAGCTGGTCTAGTGAAAGATACCAGATTTACCCAAAGAACCTTGTCTGCCTATGTCCTGAGACCAACACGGCTACAACTTACATCCCTGTGTGTATTGCAGATTCTTTTCATCATTCAAGGAGACAAGTGTAAGCAAACCTCCCTCCTTGCTTGTGTGCGGGCCGGGAGCGACCCGAGCCCTTTTCGCGCTGCACGCGGGCTGTGGCCAGCAGCCCGGGCACGCCGGGTTGGAGAGGGAAGGCCGTCGAGCTAGAATTAGGCACAAACGCGTAGTGGTAGTTTTAAAGATTGTTTACTTACACCGAGATGGCAGTGGTGCAGGCTGGAAAACTTGATTAAGTTACAGTTACAGACAGACAACACAGACGGTCTTGTGGAGGTTGCTAGGCTCCACGGTGCAGAGCTCCGGATGCTCTGGGTGAACGAGCCACCAAAATAGAAATCGTAGATACGTCTTATAAAAGTCGCGCTCGAAGACGGGAAGAGGTGGGCGGTGGATCAGGCCACCAGGCTCCTCTGGATCTCACACAGGGTTTCTGTTACCCTGCCGTGTACCCAGAGTCCCCACGAGATGGATGTGGAGTCCTCTTCGGCTTGGGCGGAAACTGCTCGAGCCTCTTATACAGCTAACAAGCCAATTGCTAGCCGCCACGTGTGAATAATTTAGCACTAGCCAATTACGGGGAACGAATTTGCATACCGGTGGCGGGAACTCTTTTGCACCGTGCATTCCTCTTGCAACATGAGCAATGCACCCTGCAAAAGAAGCTGCAGAAAAGGCGGGAAACTCGTCCCTGCACCGGGGTTTCCTCTTGCTACAGGAAACTCTCCCGTGCAATGCTCTGCGACTTGGCGGGGATAATTCTGGCGCCGAAGCGCGCACACAATCATGCCTTTTGGGTCATGACATCTTGAAGCAGAGTGATTTCAATAGGGCTAGGTCCAGGTGCAGAGATCTGTCTGTGCACATCTGCTTGGGGAGGATCATCTTACTGAAAATCTTATTTTCTGTCCTTTTTCAGTTTGGAGCAATTCAAAAATCAAAATGTACAAAAGTGCTTTGTATAGTTTAGGTATATTGGCATGAGAATTGTTTGGTACAAGTAAAGCTAAATTGTTACAATCTGGATTGCAGACCCTCTATAGATTAAGTTGTGTTGTTAATGGCGTGCTTTCATCATTGTATTACTGGAGTATGAGAGTGGATTGCAAGTAACCAGACCTTAAATCAACAGCAGGTGGTGTAAACTTGCTTACTTCCTGGACTTGTATCCTTCCCACTGACCACAGTCTCATAGGACATTAGGGCTGGAAGGAATCATAGAATCACAGACGATGAGGGTTGGAAGGGACCTCAGGGGGTCACATCTAGAACAGCCCCCTGCTCAAAGCAGGACCAGCCCCAGCTACATCATCCCAGCCAAATGTCAGGAAGTCATCTTGTCCAAACTCTTGTTCAAGGTAACATTGTCCTGTTCTATGCCATCTAAGCTGAGTGTCCAACCTGCACTTAAAAACCGAGCAATGGCAATTCCACAGCCTCTTTAGATTATACACTGCTGAGCCACCTTTTATATACAGAAGGTGCTTCCTAATATTCAGTCTACATTTCCTCTGTTGCAATTTCCCCTGTTTCTACTTGTTCTGTTCCTGGCCCAGAGTAGCTGATCACATCCTCCTTAACTACCCACCCCCACCTTTCTTTTTAATTTGAAGCCTGTTATCAAACTCTTCCCTCCATGCCACCCCCTCCCACCCCCTTCTTCCTGGAGACAAAGTAATCCCAATTTTTCTAGTCTTTTCTGTAGTACCGCAGCCCAGCTAGTTCTCAATTTATACTTGTGCATGTAATTTTCCAGACTAAATGCAGTATTTTGACATTGTCCTTATTGAATTGTATCCTATTTATTCCAGATGCTTTCTTCAATTTCTTAAGGTCATTTTGAATCCTAATGCTTTTCTCCAGAGTGTCTGCTCCCCACTCAGCTTGATGGCATCAGCAAATTTACGTAGTGTGCACTCAATTCCCTTCTCTAGCAGGAGACCTGCCCTTTGTATAGTGTTGCCCAGGAAGCTTATGACACTTCTGCAAAATGATTTCATAAATTGCGTCCCTTGTTCTGTGTTGAATTTGATTATACGGCACAGATCAGTAGAGCAGGGATATTGCTGCAGAATGGGCTTGCAGTAGTATCTCCTTTGATTTCCTCCCCCCCCCCCATATACTTTATGAGTCTATTGTGTGGCATTGAAATAATTAGTCAAGTGACACACAGAACATTTCATGCAAACAGGAAATTAAAGCTGTTCTATTGTAGATTGCTTTGTGGTGGAAGCACTGCTTTAAACGACTGCTTCACTCAAGCTAACACAACTATTGATGTCGTTGGCAAACTCATTTGGGCGATAGTGTACCCTTTACACTTACTCTGAGGCAAACATGGCCGACAGCTGCCTAATAAACCATTGCATAAATATTTGGAAGCTAGGTGCTTGGTTTCCTCAGCACTGTGGTGTAATTATAATATAGAACTTGAATGAAGTTGTTACAGGACTGGGTTGAAGAGCTAAGGGACTTAAATGTAGAAGTGGCATGAAGTTATTTTAAGGCAAGAATACAAATAGTATCAGGAGCTTGCATCCCAAGCAAGAGGGGAAAAATTAATAAGGTCGAAGGTCTAAAAACCTGTGTGGATGAACAACCACCTCAAATGGGCTATTAAACAGAGGGTCTACAAGCATTGGGAAATAGGATTGATAGATAAGGAGAAATAGCTTTCTATTAGAGGCGTGCGAAATTTCGCCCGACGTTTTGTTTCGAAGCTGTTTCAATGCATTTCGAGCTTGAAACAGCAAAATCAAAACAAAACAAAAGCCTTCGAAACAGCTTTGAAACGAAACAAGGGAACTCGAAACGTTTCAAAGTCAGGCTTACTGGCTTCAGCACCGGTCCCAGGCAGCAGCACCCACCTCCTTTCATCCGGCAGGCAGATCGGGGGCTCCTCGCACCCCCAGGAAGGCTGCGGGGGCAGTACCTGAGTCCCCCCAGGGATGCAGGGCTCCAATCTGCCTGCTAGATGACAGACCGGCGCTGAGCGCAGTCCGCACCCAGCACCAGGAGGACTCCGGCACAGCCCCCAGAGCCCTCCCGGGGGTGCTAGCGGGCCCCCGATCTGCCTGCTGGCTGACAGGAGCCAGGTGCTGCCGCCTGGGGTCAGCGGGGCCGGGGCAGATCAGCTTGGGAGCGGACTAGGGCAGGGGAGGGTCCCCGCACGAACTGATCTGCCCTGGGCCTCCACCTGGCTGGCTCTGGTAGGGGGTGGGGCGGATCAACTGGTGCGGGGACCCACCGCCCGGATCCCCAGGCAGGGGAGTGTCCCTGCACCAGCTAATCTGCCCAGCCTGCTACCGGAGCCAACCAGGTGGGGGGCCTGGGATGAGAGGAGCCTGGGACTGGCGGCAGCAATCTTCCCAGTGCTGGGTGTGGGCTGCAGGCAAATGGGGGGGCTCACCCCCCCCCAGGAGGACTTGGGCACAGCCCTGGCAATGCTCCCAGGGGTGCAGGCAAACCCCCGATCTGCCTGCCTGCTGCATTTTATGTTTCCCCATAATAACCTACGGGCAAAACATCGAAACAGCATCAAAACAGCAAAACAGTTTCAACGAAGCAAAACTCAAAATGAAACACTGTTCCGTCGAAACAGGAGTCGAATTGAAACGATGTTGTTTCGCACAGCCCTACTTTCTATGGTCAAAGAATTCAGAAAGTGAGAATGCTGAAGGCTTAGTGAAATTAGACCTTGTGAAGACTATGAAGACAGCAAAAGCTTTCTTGGTCACGTAACCCCCCACCCTCCAAATCATTCACCCAATGAGTTCTTGGGTGAATGATTGCCCATGAAATGCAGGGAGCTAACCTCTGGGTCAGGAGGACCCCATCCAATCCTATCTTCCTGTAATGGATCAGAGATGCAAATTTGAATCCACATCCCACAAAAACATAATAAACAGCAGAGAAATCCAGGATAGATGTTAGGGTCAGATATTGGGGAAACTTGTTACCCCACTGTAAATCTGTCGTGGACCACCCTAGGGGAATTGTTTATCTCATTAATCTTCTTCCATGCAAAAGAAAGTGGTGTAGCCTGCACTGCTATCAGTATTTTGAAGATGCCTTTGGGGTAGAGATCTAATTATTGCTATAGTTTTTAAGCAAGTTTGTGTCCTGATCTAATAGATTTTGATTCTCTCCTCTTGAACATTTATGAAGTTCCTTCTAAAGGCATAGATTGGGAGTGCCCAAGTTTAGCCACTGTGATGCTGGAACCATTATTAAATTACAAACAAGTTAGTTTTGTGGCTTGAAGATCATTTGATGCAACTTCCTTTCTCATTAATTCAGATAAGGTTGGTTGAAAAAGCTTGTGGTAATGACCTGTTTTAGGTCTTTGAAAAAAATTCTTTGGCACCCTACAACTGCCTTCATGTGTTGTTTGCACAGATGGGTGTTTAAAATCCTACCTGAAGACTTCTTCCATCAGCAATCAAGCACATTAATTACTTGGAAGGTTCCCTCCGTAAGGCTTTTTTAATGCATCTTATCTGTACTAGTTTGGGAATTCCCCATCATCTCTTGTTTTACACAGCAATGAACATACTACAATATCTTAATTAATGGAACATCATTTTCCCCTGGTAAACAATCCTTTTTATTTGCCTCAAAGATAGTTATTTTCTTGCTGCTATTGTCACCAGTCAGTCTCAGTGAAAAGGCAAACTGTACTATTAAGAAGGTTAAAAAATTCTTTGGTTCAATTATTGTGTATGTAAATACACCACCTTACAGCTGACTTTCTTTTCTTGGCTAATTTTGTACACGTTTAGAATTATAAAAAGATATAGCAGGACTTGTAGAATTGTATTGTACAAATGTACATCACAAGTAAGCTGTTTACTCCATCATTAAAGGGACTTGAAACAGACTGAGAACCACAATGTAGAATAAGCTGCCCTGGTAATGAAGACAGGTAAAATGGGATGAACATATTAAATTGTTCCTTTATACACAGTTTAATAATGTTTTTCCTTCTGTTTTAGGGATTGCTCACCGAGACTTGAAGCCTGAAAATATATTGTGTGAATCTCCAGAGAAGGTGCTCTTCAATTTTTTTTTTCTTAATGGCTTTTTTATACCACTGGTCTTGATGCCTGCGGTCTTGTTTCATTAATTCCTGGCTTCTGTACCTTAACCTTCTCCCCACCCCCATGTGTTTTCAGGTATCACCAGTGAAAATATGCGACTTCGACCTTGGCAGCGGAGTGAAGTTGAACAGTGCGTGTACTCCAATAACTACTCCCGAATTAACTACTCCAGTACGTAAACTAGGCCTTTTCTGCTTCGCTTGTAAAGCAGTTTGCTGAAATGAAGAGAGTTTATAAAGAGTGAACTGCAACTATTTTGACTATGGAGAGATCATATTTAATATTACTTGTTTAGTGTCAGATGTTGTGGGCATTCTGTAATTAAAGGAATAAAACATAGAGATCAGCGTCATCCACTTAGGCACCAAATTAGCCTATATAAGCAGATGTTCATTATTACATTTGCAAGTTGCATCTTGTCTTAAATTAGATTGTGAATTGTTTAAGATGAGGGGCTGTGATTATATTTTGTACAGCAACTTGCACAATAGGTCAGCCATCCAGATTGAGGGCTGTGGGTGCTGATGCAATATGAATAATAAAATAGCAAGGCAGAAAACAAATGCCACACGGTTTCAGTGCTCTCAAACGTGCTCTTTGCAATTCTAGTTTTAGTGAACTTCCACTTGAAATGATGTTCTCTTGGGGGAAAGGGACAAATCACCGTAAGATGGCTCTGTTGCTTTTTTTCTTAAAGGAATCCTTCTCTGAATAGTGAAGGAATCAAAATTCACAGTAGAAATGATGCCTCTACTGAGCCCAGAACTAGTGGGTAGGACCTCTCTATCTTTTATCTGCTGTCCTGAATCTCCCATTTGATGAGGGAAAAGATGGTACCATTTCATAGCAGAATGTGCTTTGCTATTCATTATCTACCGTGTGAAATGCAGCTTATTTGATGCACATGATTTTTCTTGAGTAGTTGCAAAAAAATAAATGTTTAAGTTGATATTGCTTTTGGTTGCAAGACTTGAGTTTTCTTAGAGAGTGCAACACAAAAATAAGAGGACAGGAAAGTGTCCGTTGTTCTATCTGTCACAGGCTAAAGGAACTTACCAGTTCTGATTTTATTTATTTGATGACAAATTTCTGCGAGCAACTTTCACATGATTTCTCTCCTTCAAATGCCATCACGATTCTTGCTGTACCATCCAAAAGCCAGGGGTAGTTACTTTTACCGTATGTTGAAACATCCCATATGCATTAGCTGGAGCTTGTGCACAATCTATTTGACTTTATGACTCTCAGCCGAGAAGACAAATTGTGTCAGGATTTGGGGGTTCTTTAAAATACTCAAATGAAAACTTGTTTAGAAATTAGTGATTATCATAAGTCAGCCGACTTTTGTTCAAAGGTATATTCAGGACCACTTTTCATGCGTGTTACATATTAAATATTGTTATCATGATTGCACAGTCTAAGGAAACCAAATTTTTGTACATTTACTTCCACTTTAATTCTTGCAGTTGCCAAGCAACTAGCATAGTAACTGATTATTTAGCTGTTTTACTTTGTTTGTCATTTACTTTGTGGCGTGAGATCTGCCATCACTAAAATTCCTCTTCCTCATTTTTTTCTGTTGAAAGGAGGCTTTTTGCATTGCTTTTATTTTTATGGTGATAACTGGGTTTAAATGGCAATTTTCACTGCTTTTCAGTATTTCAGGTTGGTAGCTGGCTGTTGGAGGACTCAGTAGTTATCTGCAGTAAGAATGTCAAGCTTTCCACGGTCTCTGTAATTTATAAGCATATCCTCACATAAAGCCAGAGTACTACTTTTTGGCAGTGCAGTGAAAAGATTGTCTATCAGTGGAGCAGGAGGCTTTTTAAAGAATTGTATTTAAACAATAAATAAACCAGCCCCCATTAATTAATTTACTTTTTATAGCCATGCTTGATCGTGGCAATTATGATTTTAAAATAGCGTGCAAATGGAATATTCTGACTCACTTCTCCCCAGCTGTAAGTCACACTTAACTACTTTCCATTCTGACAAGACTTCCGACTGCCCTTCCTTCTCTGAGTTCTGCATTGGTCCCATGCTGTCAGAAGCTACAGTTAGATAACTTTTTTTTGGAATTGCTTGCTTTTTCCATGTTCAAAACACTTTCTTCATCATAAGCTTCTCAGAATCTGAGGCTTTACTCTTGCAACATGCAAAAAGCAGAATGATTTTGTCTTGAAGCCACTATTGATATTGGAGACGAGAGTAAAAGTCCCTGACATCCAGTCCTGTATTTAGACTGCTTCAGTCATTTCAGTGTTCCTCTAAGTAGCAAAAGATTAAAATCTGGCCTGTTTTTATTGCCTGCCTTTTGCTGTTTGATTTGGGTGCACTAGCGATGACCGCTATTTAGATTATTTTCTTTTCTGTCCCCTAGTGCGGTTCTGCAGAATACATGGCACCAGAGGTTGTGGAAGTCTTCACAGAGGAGGCCACGTTCTATGACAAACGCTGTGATCTGTGGAGTCTCGGGGTGATTTTGTACATCATGCTCAGCGGCTACCCTCCTTTCGTGGGGAACTGTGGCACGGACTGCGGCTGGGACAGGGGAGAAGTTTGCAGAGTTTGCCAGGTGCCTCTATCATGTGTGGATCTCTTGGGGAGAGCTGTAGGTAGCCTTGTTATCTGGGACAGGAGACTGGGTTACTGAGCAAGCTGTGCTGACTTCCTCGCATAGCTCAGCCCTTTAAGAAAATAAGCCTCAACTGAGAAGTGGGGGAGTGACTTAGTGATATGTACAAAATGCCCCTTTTAACTTCTCAGCTGAGACTTAGCAGCCCCTCTTCCTTTTGGGGGTTTAGAGGGTGAAATCTCAGGACTGGGTCCCATATTCCATTATCCCCAAGTAAGTTTAACATAACCAGAATCCTCCAGCTAAAAGTGGGATGCTATCTCCTTAGGCATAGGGCTTGGAGTATCATACAGGGCTAATACATGGTGCAAATGGCTGGGCTTTTTTTGTAGAACAAGCTCTTTGAGAGTATCCAGGAAGGCAAGTACGAGTTCCCTGACAAAGACTGGTCTCATATTTCCAGTGATGCCAAAGACCTCATCTCAAAGTTGCTTGTTCGCGATGCCAAAGAAAGACTGAGTGCTGCTCAGGTTCTGAAGCATCCATGGTTACAAGGGGTAAGTAGAATAACTCCTCTTGGGTTGGACACAAGGCTGTTACTTCAGGCTTTGGCATTCTTCAGGTATAGAATTTATTCCTCGTTATGCTATTTGTATCATAGATGTAGGATTTTGTCTAAGGCCCCTGGCGCACGTTACACTTAAGAAGTGATTAACCAGTTAATCACATCTTAAGTAGTTGCTTGGCTACACTTTAATTCAGCTAATGGTCTGATAAAGCAAGGAATAAGCCACGAAGTTATTACGCTAAATATGTGTAGTAACTTTAAAGCTGGTTCATAGCATGCCATTAATTGAACATGTGGACAGGCTAATTGGGGCTCTCAGCTTTGTAAGCCCATCAGAATCAAAGGCTCTGATGTGCCACCGAGGCTGGGAGCTGCGATCAGCTGCCACTCCCAGCTGCTGGGCTGCATTGGAGCCCTCGACTCCTGATATGTCCCTTCAGCTGAGAGCAGCGGCAGATTGGGGCTGCCAGCTGCAGGGCACAGCTGGACTCAAGCTCCACTGCACCCCCGGTGGCTGGGAGCCCTGTCAGCTGATGGGGCTCCCAGCGGTGGGAGGCATGGTGTGCTCCCGAGGCTGGGAGCCCAGATCAACTGCTGGGGCTCCCAGCGGTGGGAGCTTGCTACTTACCAGTGCAAGGGCAGCGTGGGATCAGGACATACGTGGCAGGAAGCACAGTTGTGGGGATTGCACATCCGATCCCATTGCACCTTTAAGTGTACATCTGCTGGGGGCACAAGTATTTAGTATAAGCCAAGTTTTTGCTGTCTCGCATTCCTGGCCTCTGCATTTATAAAGAGTTTTCCCTGTGGCTGCGAGGCACTGTACCTAGGAAATTAGGGGCACGTGTGTGTTCGTGTGTGTGTTTTCTAATATGATACCGAAAAACCCAAGTGTATTCTAGTTTATGTATTGCAGTCCCTAAATGTTTTGCATGATCTTGCTTTTTTTTTTTTTTGCTTCCAGTATCATATTTTATGCAGGTTCTAAACAGGGCTTGTTTTTGTCAGCTTTGTAATTGAATTAATGCAGTCTCAATTGCATGAATTACAGCAGCGCTATGGGATGGCCTTTTAAGATAGGAAAGTTAAAAAGAATATGATAATCGTGGGCTTGTTATCATATCTTAGAAAATATATCTGCAACTAAATATCTAGTGTGCTTTGGTTATAAAGATGGAAAGGGAAGTTTTCTGTTTAAGAGGGCTGCAAATCTTGGTTGCCACAAAGCAGAGACAACAAGTAAACATCTTTCTTTTTTTTAATTAAATTTTACAGCAGGCTCCTGAAAGGGGATTACCTACGCCACAAGTTCTTCAAAGGTAACCGTTTCTTGTTAATCTGAAGTCAGGAAGAATGCAGGGTAGAGATGCACCTTAGAAACAAATTAAATTGGAGATGCATACACTTTCATAAGCAAGAACTTATTTTGTCAGGTGCTCTGAATGGATATGGGGAGAGCAGGCTATCCAAATAGAGATTTATTTGAACAAAAAAGACAAGGAAGGAAAGAATTAGCTTTTCTGACTCCTATGTCCATTTGGATTTATTACTTTAATACTTTCCTCTTTTCAGCAATGCCCTCCCCACCACTTCCCTGTCTTTTTTTGTAGTCAACTCACTCTGGTTGATAGTCTTTTCTCTGCAGCTCTTATTTATAATACATAGATAGTTATTATACATATATACATATACATACACATGCATGCAATTAATGGTCTCTGTTTATAATACATAATCTATTTTTGATTCAGTAATGGGTACACCAGTAGGATTTGTTCTTGCTCTCATTGAAGTCTGGGCCATTCATATGAAATCGAGTAGGTCAGGCATCATTCCAAGTGATTTTTGATTAAAGATTATGAGCTACAGGCAGGGTAGCAAAGTGGTTTTGTGATCTAGAAACCCCAGCTCCTGTTCCCAGCACGGAAAAGCATCTCGCTGTAAACTGATCTGGCCCTTGTCAGGTGCATGGCTGGGAGTTTCTGTGCCCCTTATTAATTCTTCTCCTTTTTCCTTCCAAAAGGAATAGTAGCACGAAAGACTTGACGCTTTTTGCAGCAGAAGCCATTGCCCTGAACCGGCAGCTGTCTCAGCATGAGAACGAACTGAATGAAGAACAGGAGAACATCGCTCAAGCCATGTGTTCCATGAAGCTCTCTCCTCCGTCCAAATCCCACCTGGCCAAACGAAGAGCAATGACTCAGGCCACCAAAAATGGTGACTTCCAGCCAGTTTTTCATGCTGCCCTTTGACATCATTTCCCTGCTGTTGCTGCTAATGAGAGAAGTCACGTTTTCCCTATTTTAAAGACAGATAGTTACATCAAGGCCAAATGACTTTTATCAGGAAGCTCATTATAAAGTGGCTTCCAGCTTTAAGGGGCAATTTTTATGCAATCTATTTTGGTGTAGTAAGGTATTTAACAGAAATTTTTTAAACAAAAGAAATGTGAGTTCACTGCTATGTTACTTCAGAGGATCAACCACTAAGCTCTCCTCATTTGTCTTAAAAGCACACTTGAGAATGCAGGCTTGAGGATATTAGAGAAGTGCTTCTCATGTTTTGCACTTAAGGGCTCCTCAGATCTGCCACCCCTGCAGGTAAATCTTAAGACTTTGCCTCTCCTTGGAAGCCTTTCAGTTCTGCTCCTGTAGCCCACAGGAGAGCTTGCTGATGGACTGGTCAAAAAGCATAATGACTCCAGAAGTGAAGAGAATACACTAATCTGGGTCCTGCATGTTGATGAGAGGTCCCAGATCCTACTTCATTTGGGATAAAGAGCACCTTCCAAGCTACTATAGATGCACAGCAAAATATTTTGTTTCCTTAGCTAATACTTCTGTGTTCTCATAAGTAGGTCATATATATACTCTCAGTTCTTCCCATTTTTTCAGCTGTTTTTATCATTCTGCCTTTTCTTACAATTCCATTCTTAAATCTGAAACTAGTTTAGGCGATGAACTTTACATGGGATGTTGTTTTTTCCACAAATACTTTTCTCGGTGCTCTTCAAGATCTGAAGATAGACCTGTCTCCAATGACTTCTTCGTTTATCATTTGGATTGTATGTTTTGAGATGGGAGGGACTGGCTCCAATGACTTATTTTGGTGAGAAATCTGTGCCTTTCTCACCAGTGCACAGGTATTGCATGTAGCAGTCAGCGCCTTGAGGCCATTGAGACAAATGAATGGGGTTTAGATCAGATTTTCTTTTTTTTTAACCCTGTACTATAGCTCTCTGTGTGACCCAGACTGCCTTGAGAGCTGCCGTAGAAGTTAATTCAGCAGATTTTTGCAAGGTTGCACAAGATTTTTTGGGGTGTCCAGTGTGGGCTCACCTCACAAGCACTTTATATTTTTTTTTTAAGAAAGTGCTCAGCATATAAGCTGTGAAAATTGGGTGATTTAAGGTGTGTCAGGTTGGCCCCCCAATGTGTTAGGAGACATTTTTGAACAGTTATGCCCGTGTATTGTGTGCAAGGTGAAAAATATATTATCTGCAAATGCCAGTAGTAATAATCTTAAGCTGGAGGAGGACGGACACAAGAAACAAATTCAACATCCCGTTGGAAGTGGAGAAGTAGTCTATACTAGAACAGGTTCACACTTGCCTTTTAGAAATGTGCACTTTGTAAATAATATTTTGATACAACCTAATGTATTGGTGATGAAAGAAAATGGTTATACTTAAATTATTTTATATGTTGTGCCAGTGATACAGGTTATGTACCTTAGCTTTGGTTTTATTAAAAAAAATTTTAGCTATAAATTTAACACATTCCATAATTGCCTGCGCCTTTTCGGTCTGATTTTTGGAGACTTCGACTACTCAGGAAACAACCATTTATTCTTCTGTGACACTTTTAACTTGTGTGCTGAAAATTAAATGCACCTCATTTCTACAATGCCTCATTTCTTTATCCGTCTCTGGAGCTTCATATAATCTCTTTGTGATGAAATGAAGGCATGCATAGACTTTTTCTTCCCAGAAAGGACCATTATGATATAGTCTGACCTGCATAATGTGCCCCAGGGAATTTCACCAAGTGATTTTAAGCCCAGGATTGTGAGCCTGAACTCGAGACATAGGTCCAGTTTCTTTCTTCTTCTTTGAATCAAGGCCAAACTCTTAACTATCAGATCAGATCAGATCAGATCAGCATTGGGAGTGATGATGGTGAATTGGAGCCAGGGAGTGACTGCATTTGGCAGCATGCTCCGTGTCCAGAGAGCAGGGATTCACAAATGCAGCGTCTGACTGGGAGCTCATACGAGAAGTAACATCCGTGTCCAGGCAGCGTGGTGGGAGCCATGGAGAGGGCAGGCCAGTGGAGCAGAGACCATAGCACCCCTCTGCTCACTGGGCCAAACTCCCTGCTGCATCTGCTGGGATGGAAGGGAGGAAAGCATGTCCTATGCATGTGTGCACACAGGAGCATGCAACATCAATTTGCAAATCCTATTTTCTTGCCTTTTGGTACCGCATAAGGGAGGATGGGGTGAACATTTCAGTACCTCTTTGCATAGCATCTGTCGGCTTTTGTGTATGCAGGTTGCACTGTTTTGATTAGACAATGCTGCATTGTTCTGTACAAAACAAAGGCTTAAACTCCACTAAGATCTGTACCTGTGAGTTGATGGTGGCCTTCTTACACACCCTAGATCTATAAAAACTTCCATGCACATGGGGAGAAGAGAAATTTTTAGTTATTGGACGTATAGAATGCATTAGATATTCCTGAATTATCCCTTGGAGAATATTCCTTTTAATTCTGGTGGGTAATATGTACCTGGCGTCCAACAACAGCTGATTCAGGAATTGTAAGCTTTACCTGATTTTCTCTGGTCTCTTCTGAGAGTTTGGTTTGATTTGATTTGCTTTTTTGGCACGTTAATGAGAGTTGAAGTTGGAAGAATTTTAGGAGGAGAAACGCAGTCATAGCATTAAATTCAGCTGATGCTTTATTTTTAAGCATGCAAAAGTAAAAAAATGTGAATTCACTTGTAGGGTTTTGGTTTCTTTTATTACAAAGTTAGGAACTAAGTGAACCTTTCAAGACCAGCTTGTTTTTTGTTTTTAATGACCTGTTTTTACTACGAAGTTAACGGAAGGGTGATTTGATAGCAGTTATATTGTCACCTAGCACTCCTTCACCTGCACCCAATTTGGAGACTTCGGTCGCCAGTGGTGACTACAGTTGGTGGTCATTGGGATGGGGGGGTCGGTCATTGGGGTGGGGGCTGAACAGGGGTTGCATTATTCGCCCCCTGGGTTCTGGCACAGCTGGTACAGCACCTCCCAAGCTGTGCCAGTGCAGCAGCTGTGCTGGGCAGCTGTTGCTCTGCTACCAGAGGTGGGCCATCCAGCCTGTGGGACCTAATGAGTTGTACGCCTCTGGCTTAGAGGATCATAAAAACTAGGGCTGTGTGAAATTTTGCCGGGTGTTTCTTTTCGATGCTGTTTCAACTCATTTTGAGCTCGAAACAGTGAAATCAAAACAAAACGAAAGACTTCGAAACAGCCCTGAAATGAGACGAGGGCAGTCGAAACATTTCGACTTTCGAAGCCAGGCTTGCTTGCAGGGAAACAGAAAGTAAGGAGAGAGAGAGAGGGAAGGATTGCTCTCATATTGACTGTGTAGCTGGCCAGTGACTGTGATCCTTCCCTGAGGTCCCTTCCAATCCCAGTGCTCTGCGGGAGGGCGGAAAACACGCACACAGTCGCACATGTCGCAAGTTTTGCTTGTCAGCAGCTTGAGGTGCATTTTCCCAGAAACCCCTGCACCTATGTGCTTGAAACTTGGCAGGCTTTGTGCCCTCAGAAGGGGCTGCCATCCCCGCTGTTTTCATCCAAATCTGCTAAGAAATGACAAAGTTATAGGCAGTTTTGTGCTTCCCCATTAGAACCTCCGGGCAAAACAGTTTCAACGAAACAAAACGGAACAGTGCTTCGAAACGAAACGAAACTCTAAATGAAATGCTGTCCCGTTGAAATGGAAGTCGAAACGAAACGACACCGTTTCGCATAGCCCTAATAAAAACACTTCTCCGTGTATGTGCGTGTGTAGCACTAATGCCAGAAGTGAAGCACCGAATTCCTTTGGCAGCACAGGTTGACCTACGAAAACTAAAACGGACAGACAAGTTGAAAACCGCTGTTGTAGTCAGGAAATCTTCACGAATACCTCTGAACATAGCCAGAATTCAAAGCCCAGCTGCCGATGCCTTTGCATCAGCCTTGCTGAGAACTTAAGTCTCGCCCTTGTTAAAAAAAAAAAAAAAAAAAGGCAGCCCTCTGGACATATTCAATCCCAAGTTTTGTTAAATTGTGCTGTAAAATCGTGTCTTTGCTCCTGTCTCCTACATGGAGCAAGGAATGCCTCTAATGTTGTTCTCCATAAACAGAAGTATGCTTGAAGTCGGGCAGAAGGCAAGGCAGATTTGCACCAACTAATTCGGAGATGAGCTTTGATAAGCGGAGGGGGTTATTTCATCAGAGGGGGAGACACTCCTTTCATAGCAGCTGATTGAATAAGCTTTCCTAAGCAGAAGACTTATTTAATCAATTCCCTGTGAAGGGATGATTTCCCCTCTGAAATAAGCCCTCTGCTTACAAAATCTTATGCTACGCACATCTCTGATTTAGTTTGTCTACAAAGTGCAACTCTACCTTGCCTTCCAGCTTAATAAATAAGGCAGAAGTGGTGTGGTAGGGAATGCAGCCGCTAAGCAGCTAGTAATCGTTCTTGAGAGCTGTTGCCTTCTTAAGTCAAATGTACCTGATGATAATACCAGACCTTTGTTCTTGCCCATCTTACCTCCTGTACCTTTTTCTATTGAAATCAGAATAGAAATATTAAAGACCCTTAGCCTTTAGAAGAGAAGTGGTGTTCATTCACTGTATTCAGCTTTTTCTTTTTTTTTTTTCCCCTCCCCCTGTAAATGAAAAATTTGAACTTCTGCCAGCAGCTTTAAAATGACTCAGTTCACTTTCATCTGAAAGATGGGAACATAGCCCTTGACTCACAAGACTAGGTATTGGCTGAATTGTGTCTCTTTGAAGCATCAATGGCTTTGTGCTTGTTTTCAGGTGGCCTAGAGAAAGTGTTTCATTTTCCTCCCTGAATCACACCACACACACTGGGTCAACGCCGCAGGGACTGAATCACTCCAGTGAATCACTCAGGTTAGCAGTGGAGAGGCTGAATAGGTAGCTTTATGCTTCTGCCATTTCCCTTGACCTATTAGGACGAATCAAGGTGCTGACATTTAAACAGGGTGGCAAAATGTCATCACAGATCGGTCAGCAACTCAGTAGGTAAGCAGTCACCGTTGCATGCCTTTGAATCACTCCCACAGCTCCCAGTAAGCAGTGGTAACTGGTGCTCCTAACTGCTGCTCTTTTCAAGCATCCCACATCCTCCCTTTCCCTTTTATTCAGATTAATAAAATCAGGATTGATTTAATTAGGATCAAAGTAAGGATCTAGGATTGACCTCAGAATTAGGATCGATTTAAGGAAAGTTGCACGCCCTAAAAAAAGGGAATCGTGCATCATCTTAACTGTCCTGAATCAAAGTTTGTCCCTCCCCTCCTTCGGGGTCTTCATTGTGAACTTGCAATCCCATTGTGGGGCTTGAGTAGACCTTGGGTCTACATGAGACACTAATGTGCAGCAGATTAATTCAACTGTGCATTAACACGGCAGGCAAAAACCGTGCTAATGATCTAATGCACAGGAGAATTAGTCTACCGTGCATTAGCGTCACCTAAAAAAGTGTGCCGGCACTACTGCACAGTAGCATTGATTATGGTGCGTTACGTTAGCAGCTGTAATAGCAAGTACAAAATTTAACGCACTGGGACTACTGTGCATTAATGAATGTGTAGACGTGCTCCTTGTGATCTAACCAGCAGGGTCAGCCATGAGGCTTATGTTGTAGATCTTGAAGGTGGGCCAAGAATTTCACCTAGTAAATTGTTCTGGATTCACAAGTCCTAGGCAAGACATTGCAAGTCAAGGGAAAGGGACTCCTCGGTATTTAATTTCAAAGCGCCTTAGGTCCTTCACTAAAGTTTTGCAGCAAAAGCCTGCGTAAACTCCCTGCTTGACGCGTGTTAAAGTGGCTTTAACAACAATATTCAGTGCTGGATTTCTTTGTAGGTATTTATTTATGGGGATGGAGCTTTTCAGAAGCTTTTTCCTTTCTGTCTGTCCCTTGGGATGCCGGGGTGGGTGGGTCGATACGGGTCTTGTTCGCTCTTTATCGAGCTCCCTCCGTCTCCCTCTTTATTTAATCCTTCTGTCAGGAATAGAAAGCCAGGTTTATTGTTTGTGGGTGTTGGTGGGAGGCTCGGTTTACAATTGACAAGTAACTTGGCTAATTTCCAAGGCTAGTAATTTTACCGTGGACCCTCAGAGTGGCAGGAATAGGCTTCGGATTTGGCTTCCATAGAAACACATTGCCATGGCAACCAAAAAGGCCTGAGGATTTTGAGGCACTGTGATTGCACCCGGACTCGGGGCTCCCCCTTCCCTCTGCTTGGTGCCGTCTCCGTGTGCGCATGTGTTGCCTCTGCCACATTTTAATACGTGCATTGGGAATGCTCGACGTGGCAAAGGGCATTTAGCTTGGAAGCCCAAGTTGTTCAAAGCCTTTGGTGGCTTCATTGCATGAAGAGCTGCCGTAAGAAAGACGATCGGCAGGGAGGGCTCTGCTACGGGCACCAAAAGAGAACTTCAAGAGGGCTCCAGAGCTGCAACCAGCTCTGCCGCATAATTGCCTGGGGCTTTTTGTGGGGGAAATGCTAGCACAAATTTTGGAGATCCTTTTTCATTGCATGCATTGGCCATGCCGTTTCTGCAGTTGTGAATAATGCAATGCCT